AGATGCCACCCAAGAGTGCTGGTCGTCCTTCAGCTACATCCAAACAAAGCAGAGTTCATGAAAACATCCAATTTGATCATTTGGATCACATAATTGAGTATGTGCCACAGGAAAAACGGCGTCGATGTGCGGGTATCGCCCATACTGCTCAAGCTAGTGCAGTTAGAACGCAATGCAGCAAGTGTAAAGTGGGATTGTGTATTTCCTGTTTTGCAGAGTTTCACAGAAAATAAATAGATTATTTGTTGTTAATTGTATTATTGACAACATGATTTTTAAAAACTATATTTATACAATTTTTTTACATACCCTATTTGCCTAGCGTGCCATATATGACACGGTCCGTAATTCCATAAACACAAAATTTTAAAAATATTTTATTAATACAAGAAGCTTTATAAGTATGTATTTAACAAGATTACCAAAAAAAAATTACAAAATTGAAAAAAAAAATAATTCCGGCAATAATGGGTTAACCGAGATTTTTAAACCATTAAATTTAAACTAAGTATATATACTATATATAGTTTTTATCATTACATTATTACTTTTTTAGATTTTATTAGTCTTAACGAATATACATTATACATATAAGTACAATAATGAGCGTTATGTAGCAATGTAATATATAAAGTTTTTTTCAATTTTTTGGGTTAGGCCACTCTAGAGGCAATTTATACTTTTTTTTTTCAATAAATGTATACTTAAAAAGGACAACTTTAATGATTTGTCAAACAACACCAAAACAAAACAAATGTTGGCATTTTCAGAAGCGAAGTGTAACTAAATCTGTAAAAAACTGCTAAATATACCATATTTATACTAGCCTACTTAGCTTGTAATTAGTATAAATATGGTAGATTTAGCAGTTAGATTTAGTTACACTTTGCTTCTGATGCCAATATCGTAGGTGAAAAGTACTTTAGTCACTTTGTGTTTTATTTTGGTGTTGGGGAATATAACTAATATTTGTTTAATAAATATATATATCATATATGATGAACTCACATAGATCTTATGTATAGAGCCTCGAGGTCATTGTTCACATTTTTTAATCTCTTTGGAAATGTCCTAAATTATAAATATTGATTAAATTTGTTGATTTTATGAAACTAACTTCGTAATCAAAATTAGAGTTCCACAAGTTCCAAAATTATTAAAGTGCTTCAAAAGAACAAAAAATGTGCTTTGAAGGGGCAAAATTTCTTAAAAAGTGCTTTGAGGGATGTTCGAAAAAGCTTAAGATCATTATTAATAAATAACTATTCTAATAAACATGTATTAAGTATTATTACTGCAATATAAAAATATATTTATTAAAAATGTGTTATTAATTTCTAAAAATTAAACTGTATAATAACCATTAAAGAAATATTAACAGCAAAATTCACGAAATCCTTAAAAAATATATAATTGCTTTAATAAAACATAATTGTAATGTATTAATGGTTTTCATAAGCAAACAGAATTTTGTGTTGGATTTTAAATTTAACTTGAAATTGCTGAAATATTTTTGCTGAATAATACATATTGATGTGATAAATCAAACCAATAATTTAAATATTTTTGCATGCAATACTGAATCGAAATGTATTTCATAAATATGTAGTTATTATCCTGATTTGGCACGACATTGTCTAAAAAATATTTTTTCTATAAAATATACTTAATTTTATGTTTAGTAATGACTGGATAAAATATTATACATTAATTTTTAATTTGTATTGTGTTAATCACTTAAAAATAAGTATACGTTTTAATGAATTGATTTAAATAATTTAAATTATTGGTATATACAGGGTGTTTCAATAAAAACTCCCAGGCCAATTATTTCGAAAACTAAAAGTGACATTTAAATTCTGTAAACGCCAGTTTTTAGCCTCTATGATTGGCTTCACAACTGTGTAAAAAATTTGTTTGAATAATACAAGATGTAGGTGGCGCCACTGTGCAAAGAATTTTTTTGATGACAGGAACTTTTAAATTAATTTTTGATCAAATTATGTTCCATACAAATTTTTGATAAATCCAACATGAACGGAGATATTTGGGGTTAAGTTTTTTTTAATAATAATTTTAATTATAAATATATTTAATATGCTTTAGCAGATGTTCATTTAATTCTGGTAATGATTATTTTAGTGATAAAACGCTCGTGTAGCGCTAACTAGATTAAAATTATTCCAGTGACGTCTTAGGGGGCCCCTTAACAAATAATATTGGCAAAAAATAATGCGCCACTGAGTTTCTGGTAATTTTTATATTTTTTTCGGATTAACTAAAAATATCCTTTTTTGTCTGTTGAATTGATTTCATATCTTGCTTCGTTTTCGAGAAATAAAAATAAAACCATTTGGAAAACAAAAATCATAAAGAAACAAAACGATAAATTATTATTAAGCTATATTTGTTGCTGTTTAAAAACAAAGGTGAAACATTAAACCATAATAAAATAAAATTAAAGGATGTTTTAAATTAAATGAAAGAATTGGTGAGAAATAATACAAAATTATTAATGAAAATTAGAACAATACTGTGTGTAAAAGGCATAAGGGGATAAGTCAAAAATATAAATTTTTCAGTAGAGCCTTAAACGTATTCGCATTAATTCAGGAAATATATTTATGATTCGCGGGTATACCCTTTTGTTAGCACATGCATGTCATATGCTAACAAAAGCGCATACTGCTAAACATAAATATATTTCCTGAATTAATGCGAACACGTTAAAGGCTCTATTAAAAAATTGCGTTTTTTGACTTATCCCCTTATGCCTTTTACCCGAGGGGTAAACCACTGATTTTTTTAAATTAAAAATCGCTTACGAATTAACGGCTAAGGATAACAATAACAAGGGTAGTCATGTACAACGCGTCGCTAAGCACTGATTAAGCACCGATTAAGCAAGTTTTCCTTATTGATAACGACTGATAAGGAAAAAAATCTCAACACAACGTCCATTAACATTGAACAGTTGTCTTTAAGATTTTAAAGTGGTTTACCCCTCGCTTTTACCCACAGAATACTAAAAATAAATAGTTATTAATGTCATTCTGATGTGGTACTTAGGCCAAGAAGTGAGTCTTTTTCTGCCGAGCTTAAAGTTTTAAGGCCGAAGCGTAGCGGAGAGCTACAATTGAGCGAAACACAAAAAGACACTTTTCAGCCGAATGCCATACAACATTTTATTTTTAAGTCACAATTTTATTTGTTGAATAATACACAAAACGTACAATTAATAAATAATAATTATTAAAAATTAAAAGTGAGGTTAGATAGATCTGATAGAACTCAAATTTTTTGATTGGTCCAATAAGTATCACATATTTTTTTATCGGATAATAATTAATAATAATAATAATTATAATTAGAGGTGAACCATAATTAAACGTAGGTATAAATATATTGGGAAATTATTAATATGAAACACTAAAATCAAAAACTAAGACATTTGATGGATTAGGAAACTGGATCAGGAAACCGATGATTACGACCAGGTAACTGGTTGTATTTTTTAATAAGACTTTTCACGAAATTTTTAGAAAACCAGATAACATGGCCAACTCTGGGGCGGTACTTACAAGAAGTCTTTACTTTTGCATTTTCCTTTAATAATAAAGATATCAAAGAAGAAGCTAATTTTTTTAAAAACACAATTTTCTATAATTAGTGTCCTTAGTTTAATTAATGCAACGTAGAAATATTTTTTTTACCATCAAGAACTGAACATCTTGTAGATATTCCTGCGTCAAAAATTCACTGCTCTTAATGAAAACAACAATGATGCCTCATAAAAGCAGTGTACGTTTATTCACCGTTTTCTTGTTTGGGTAACTTTAGAATACCTAAGAGCTGAATATTATTATAGGAAACTCTAACTCCAAGCAGAGTTTCATTTCAATATTACACATTCACCATGGTGAATGTGTAATATTGAAATGAAGCTTGCAAGCTTACACTTTTGTTTAGATGTTTTTAGAAGAAGACGTAGATGGTTGTGAAATTATCCCAGACGGATCTTTACTTTTCCTTTCGGCACTATTTACTTTTGAACTTTTTTGTTTTTTTTCCTGTTGTCCCTTTCTATTTTACCTTGCTGTTGTTTTAAGGTCATCAAAACTCATGCTACTTGAAAAATCTTAGCTTGGCAGCATTATCAAACAAATCGTCTTGAACATTCACACGCACAGTATTACTTTCACCTTGCACAGAAAAAAATCTAACATACACAGAAAAAACTATATATTCAAATGGAGGTTTTATATATTTTTAACATTATATGCTTTATTCAAGGATGCATATTTTTATTTTAAACATGTCGGCTCAAATCAAGAATGTCAATAATTTTAAAAAATGAATATTATATTTTCAAAATATATCTTTAATTCTAGTAAATAAGCTCGTTTTAAAATAGTTAAAACTGTTATTTCTAAATTACGAATTCTTATTTTGAGATTTAACCAGTTCTAGTATAATATTATAATCGTCTTAGAATGAAAGGCTATAATCTTAAAGTAAAAGGCAATATATTTATATTAAAAATATGGAATTTTTTTGTTTAAGACTTTGTGATACTAAAACTAAAATTATATATAGTTAGATTCTTTTAATTTAAGCATCCGTATTTTCAATTTTAACAATATCCGACTTTGTACATACTTATTTTAAGAATATGGTAACATTATAATGTAATAAATTATAAAGTTAGTCACCTTATTCTAAAGATATATTAAAAATATTTCTTCAATTTGAAGATACGATTGGGCTGTACTACTTGGTTTGAGCATATCACATCCCCGAGTTTTACGACGTAGTACGCGGCACCCTGTCATTTGCCGGTACCGATCTCATTTGATCTTCGCAGCTCGCGTTGACAAGTTGAGATGCAAATTTAACCCCGCGCGAGAAGAAATCTATTAGGTATTCAATCTGTATTCTTTTTCTATAAGTGTAGTTTAATTATTGTGTACCTATTCTATGGTATTAACCCAACCCGCAAGATGGAAGACAAGTTAAGAAGTTGGGGTCTTTCAGATGCAATTATTACTGTATTTAAAGGTAAGTGACTATACTATGAAGTAATTTACTTATTATTATTGTTATTAACACTTATCTGAGTAGAAACTGGCAATTATAAGTAATATTATGGCAATTTTAAGTTATAATAAGCTAGGGTATAGGTATACTGGGGTGAAATCTGGTAACTTTTATGTTACCAACCCTACTACAAATTCCCTAGAGAGACGCTGTTTGACTTAAACAGTTTAAGGTTATTTGTTTTATGATTGGCATTTTGTTCAAAGTTCTAGTATCCATTTTACTCATTAATTTTTAAATATCTCTACTAAATAACAAATAAACGTAGTGTTTACAAAATCGTATATTTTTCTTCGGTTGGTAGCACGGTAATAAACAGCAAGTTGTCTTGCCATTGCTGACTGTAAAACAACATACAATACGCCCTTGAAAACTTGATGGCAAGATAAATTGCTGCAAGAAAAATTGCTGCAAGAAGAATTGCCGGCTGTAATACGGCCTCTATACCTACGTAGGTACTAGCCATAATTGCCATCTCCTCAGCAAGTGTACAGGGTGGTCCACGTAAGGTGGCCCATATACTTATCTCAGAAACTACTGGAGTCACAAAAAAATTGTAAGGAACAAATATTCACGAAGTAAAAAATATTTTTAAAATATTATATTTTCATTTATACAGGGTGTTCGGTTTTCCTTGGGACGATACCAACTTTCTTATTTTCAATAGAACACCCTGTATTTTTTTGCATTTCTGGATTCTTCCCACTGTTTTAGGTATACTTTGTAAATATATTAAATAAGAAAATGTTAATACTTTTTGAGTAAAATTAAGATTTATTAAAATTTCTCTAAATGTAGACACTCGCTAAAAGTTAAAAATAACCAACTTAAAGTTATTATTTTTTATATTATGTAGTATCCATCTCTTTAATAATAAGTAAGCTATAAGTTAATTATTATATTTTTTGGAAAATATCATACAGGGTGTTATGTATGGTCACCTTACGTGGATCACCTAAAAAAAATATTCGCATTTTACAAAATTAGTAGCTTTGCGCGTATGGTAATTATTATAATAATATATATTTATATATAAAAGCATTTTTATTTGTTGTTATTGAAATTTATTTATTTGAATAATGAAAATTTAACTAAGGTAATTGGAAAAAAGCTACTAATTGTGAAAAATGCGAATATTTTTTTTTCTGTTAGGTTTAGGTATAGGACATATATATATAAAATCAAAGGTAATTACTTATTTTATCCAATTATACAAAAATATATAGGGTGTTCCATTGAAGAAAAACAAGATTTTAAACTTTTAAAATCGCTATTTTCAACGGGACAAATAAAACACCCTGTATGATATTTTCCAAAAAATATAATAATTAATTTATAGCTTACTTATTATTAAAGAGATGTATACTACATAATATAAAAAATAATAACTTTTAGTTGATTATTTTTAACTTTTAGCGAGTGTCTACATTTAAAGAAATTTTAATAAATCTTAATTTTACTCAAAAAGTATTAACATTTTCCTAATTAATATATTTACAAAGTATACCTAAAAGAGTGGGTAGAATCCAAAAATGCAAAAAAATACAGGGTGTTCCATTGAAAATAAGAAAGTTGGTATCGTCCCAAGGAAAACCGAACACCCTGTATAAATGAAAATATAATATTTTAAAAATATTTTTTACTTTTCTTACAAATTTTTTGTGACTCCAGTAGTTTCTGAAATAAGTATATGGGTCACCTTACGTAAATCACCTTGTATGTTATCGTTATAACGTAGGTTCCTTCTGTAAATCATAATGTTGGTACATTATGATTTAAAGAAGGAATACAGGGTGATTTATCGGTAAATGTAAACTGGCCGGTTCGAGCTGGTTTGGGTTTTATTAATTACCAAAATACAGGGTGTGTAACTGCTTTATCCTCTTTTGTTTCTCAGAGTTACAACATTTTTATGGAACGCCGTTTAAGTCAGTATTAGGTATTTGTTTTTCTAATTTTTTAATAAAAGTTTTTTTATTTTTACCGCGATACCTAAATAAAAGGCTGCAAAAATATAATATATTTTGACCGGTCAAATAGCTAGCAGTCAATTGACGGTCAATTGACTCTAGATATAACAATTATAACGTTTATAGTGTCTAACAACAGTTAATTGTCAAGTTAATATTAAAACCCTGTTTATTTAAAATAAAATTTATTTAATAAGATTATATTATTAGGCGTTGTTGCAGTGGTCAGAAGCAATTCAATGTGAAGTTAGCGGGAAACTTTTTTACTTTTCTCCTATCTTCACCGTGATAGTAATACCTTAACCTAATCTTTAAAAAATTCATATCGCACTTGTTTTTTGCTTTTTTATATTAGTTTAAAACTTATTCACTGGCTACATAGATACACTTTTATTTTAGAAAATGAAATCGATGAACAGCAACTACCTTATCTTACAACTGACTTGCTTAAAGAGTTAATTCCTCATGTAGGACCTCGTTTAATTGCACAGCAGAAAATTTTAGAATTAAAGTTAAGTCAAGACGAAAATCAAACCATTAACAAGGTAAAGTTACTTCATTAGGTTTTTCAGGTGGTGCACATGTATTTCTTAAAGTTTGCATAACCTTGTTCAGGTAATTCCGTTAATTATAACATTTTTAGGTTGAGCACAGAATCTCTAGTATGAGTACAGTAAGCGATAATACTGAAAACTCTTTTGTTAGTCTAGAAAATGTCCCTATTGTGATTGCTAATACTGATGATTCTGCCTTATGTGGATCAGGCTTTGATTACGGGAATATACTAAGTTTAATACAGCCGAAGTTTGATGATTTTGACCTCAAAACTCTATTAGCAACCACTGCACTTGGAAAAAGTATTTTGTCCTACTATGCTGCTAATCAAAATCTTGATAACACAAGACGAAATAGACTAGTCTCTATTATAGTTAAACACTTATACAATTACATTGTCAAAAAGTAAGTGAACATTTTTTTTACATAGAAATCATATTTTTTAAATTGGACTAAAATATTTTTATCTACGCCAGTGAGATAAGAACATCTTATCCCACTCATTTTGAGTGAGATAAGAATTTCATTAACGCACGCGTTTTTCTCTGCTTTTCAACCAATCAAATAAAAAAGTCAAAATGTCAACATGTCAAAATAACCCTAAATTAAGTCTTAGACAAAAATAATTACGGTTTATTTTTTCATTTAGAGGCGCAGATAAAAATTTGTACAATATACGTGTGATAAAGCTTTATTAACGTACTTCTGCGATTGCCCAACTCGTGCTACGCACTCGTTGGGCAAATTTCGCATGCGTACGTTAATAAAGCTCTTATCCCACTTATATAGTAAATAACTATTATAATATATAGATATATCTACGCCAGTGAGATAAGAACTTCTTATCCCACTTATTTTGAGTGAGATAAGAACTTCAATAACGCACGCGTTTTTCTCTGCTTTTCAACCATTCAAATAAAAAAGTCAAAATGTCAAAATTACCCTAAATTAAGTCTTAGACAAAAATAATTACCGTTTATTTTTTCATTTAGAGGCGTAGATAAAAATTTGTACAATATACGTGTGATAACGCTTTATTAACGTACTTCTGCGATTGCCCAACTCGTGCTACGCACTTGTTGGGCAAATTTCGCATGCGTACGTTAATAAAGCTCTTATCCCACTTATATAGTAAATAACTAAAATCAAACTGGCATAAACTGGGGCATAAACTAACTTACTGAAACGTTGCCGCAGTCCAAAAATTGAACTGTTGTTTACATCATTTAAAGTTTTCAATTGGAAAATGGTAGAAAAACTGTACATTTGTTTTAGACGTCTTAGTAGGGAAGAGTACAATATGTTGGCAGCAAAAATTATATCAATTTTCCCCACAGAAACATTAGGGGTTTATTATTGCCCCCCGATTCGCAAGGGAGAACACCCACTAAAAAAATCCGTTATGGCAAAGGGCAAGTTAGTCAACCAAGTGCGAAATATACTATTTCGCTCAGGCGATACTACCTTACGCAGAACTACTGGCAGTAAAAGGGATTCAGAAGGAAGTGAAGATGCATCTTCACTTTATGAATATGATGATGGGCCGTCAAAAAAAAATAAAGGTAAAAATCCTGTGGTCTCCATTCACTGAATTCACTCATAACGAAAAACTGCATTTTCGCACTAGGGCGCCAGCGCAGCGCTTATAAAATACGAAATTTGGAATTTGATTGATATTTTTTTGCAATAGAATTAATAATAAATTAAAGCCTTCTTTTGAATATTAATAAAAACAAATTCTATGTACGTTTTATTGATTTTCTAGGCAATGACAATAACGAAGATATTTTATGGCTACAACATAATTTTGAGCCGTGGGAGAAAGTATTAGAAAAGTGGAAGAACACCTATCATTTTAGAATGTCTAATAGCAAAGTTACAAATGTTACTGAATATTTCGCCCTTTGGCCTGTTTTACATGATATCCGAGGAGACGTTCTTGTAAGTTGATATTATATGGGCTTTTGGTAATAATAAAATGGAAAAGTATTATTACTTCCACCTCCCAAACGAGGGGAAGTATTGTTTCGATAAAAAAAAATCATTTTTTTATTACAAAACGTAAAAAAAACAAAAAATGAGCAAAAAAAATTTGTATGTCTGTTTCCACGATAATTTTTGAATAAATAAAAATATTGATTTGAAATTTGGTAGACGTTAACAACTCGACAATAGAATTGTTTATGAGCAAAATCGCTTCATAGAAAGGGGTGGAAAATAGGGGATGTTTATGTTTTTTTATTTATTTTTATTCTATTTGCAGTTTTTTTGTAAAATGTTGTGAACAAATTTAATATTAAACATAAAACGAATTTTTTGAAGTATAGGGAGCGAACGAAAAAAAAATCATGTTTATATTTTGAATGGGGTTGAAAGGGGATAAAAGGATAAAAAAATAATGTTTTATGTCTTTAGGGGTTTTCGTGCTCGAGGATTTCAATTGCACCAATATTTTTTTGATAAAACTTTTTGTAAGGTCTATTTTTTTTTTAAATACTTAATAATAATTATTATAATTATTGTAATAACAAAGTGCAAATATTTTAAAAACAAGTAACCATAAGCAATACAGAAAAACTTCATATAATTGATGAATTTCGGGAAGTGACCCACGAACCAACCCTAATTATTACGTTATTAATGCACTAAAGATCTGGCCCTATTTAAAACCAGATGAATCCTGGCATCTAGGCCTTTTATAAAAAAAATCTAGGTCTAGTTTGTTTTAAATTAAAATGAATAAAATTTTTATTTTAAACTAAATTTAAAAAAAAAACAAGTGCGTCGGATAAGATTATACCTATGCACTCAACCAAAAAAATATACATACAATTAATTTTCCTGCTTATAGATATAGTTTTTTTGTCTAGAAAACATATTCCTATGTAATGTTTTATTACAGATTAGCTTGGATTTTGAAAGACTTTATCCTCAGTCCCAAGTCTCGTTTTATTTAAAGTGGAATTCATTCTTTGAGCAAGTATTAAAGTCCAAAATTGGAGAAATTAGGGATGTCCAAATAAAGGAATTGCACAAACTGCTACTGGAAAAAACCGATGAAGGTATCGTTTATTATAATATTTACAATTTAAAGGGCGCTTTTAAGTATAGCGAATTTGTAATATAATACGTTAAATAACGTCTACTGAAAAACTTTGTTCTCTCCTTTGTATTATATTTTTTTCTACTTTTGTTAAAGCTTAAGTTTTCTTAGCGATAATGTTATAAAAATTTTGCGATTTTAGATGAAAAGCTACCAATACAGCTCACTTTACTGGGTCACCTACTTCCGCCCAGAGGCAGGACTAAAAACTGGAAATTTTCCATTCTAGAAAGTATTGAAGGAATAATTATTCATGTTGAGGTTAGTATATTTTAAGTTTCACTCACTTTTATTGATAAAGATAAAAAAGTACAACAGAATAATATTTTGGCTTTGTTTATACTTTTAACATCTCTAATAAAGCTTTTTTCTATTATATTTTCAGAATCCTGGTGACATTGAGATGACCATCCAGAAAACTATTGAAAAAGCTTACGATCGAAAACTCACGGTGCAGCCTTACTTATTGGTAGAAGGTAACACAATTGACAACATCCGGTCCTCATACTTGGTTTTTGATAAAATTAAATATCAGTTCAACACCGTAACAAAGGCTTTCGATTTGTTATTTAAAAGTTACCATGCTTTAAACATCCAGTACCCGCCGCAAAGTGCCCACATACTACAGTTAATTCAAAACGCGGTTTACAACATTTTCACCAAGTACGACACTGTATATCCAGAAAACCTGGATATACTGAGATTATTTAAAAATGAATAAAAAAATATAAATTCATTTAGTAAAGTAATGCTCATGTGTCTATAACTTGTTAAATTTAAATTTTAAGACATATTACAGTTCCCCTTTTGCGTCATGAAATGCACAAATTGCAGTAAACACTTTTCATGCCTTAAAAAGTATGTTATACATATAGAATATGCCCATCACTTAAGTAATTATTATAAATGTCCAATTAAAAACTGTCATCGGTTATACAATAGGCGCGATAATTTTAAGAGACATGTGGTCACTAAACATTTGGCTCATGTTAAGCCTCAGCAAAAAAAATCTTCTGTTGAAAGTATACATCAAGAGACTAGTTCTTTACCTACAAATCATGGTAACAATGACTTTGCAAAGATTTCCGATAATCAGGAAGAATCAAAGCAATTTAAATTTGATCTAAAGCATAACACTAGACAGTTTTCGCATCTTCTAGAATCTACAGTAGCAAACTTATCTTCTAAATTATATAGTAATATGGGTTTTAACAGAACACTTATTCAATATGTTATTGAAACGGTTATTTCATTTTTAAAATCAGGAATATTAGATATAGTTAAAAATCTCTGTTCACATGCATTAGATAACAGCAATAGCTTTAAAGATATATTAAATGCCATCAGTATAATGATGGACATATTAGAAAATTCGTTCGATTCTCTAAATACAGAATATAAAAGATTCAAATATTTCGAAAATTGCCAATATTTTGTTAAACCACAAGAGCAAGTAATTGGAGTTAGTGATGAACAAAAGAAACAGAATAATCAAAAAATTATGATTTTAAAAAATCACCTTTCATATTCTGTCCCAATGAGAATGACACTAAAATCATTTTTTGAAATTCCAGGAGTTTTTAAAACTGTTGAAAGTTACCATAATAAATTAGAACAAAGTGTTGTCAAAGATAACAATAATTGTATGACACATCTGTTACATGGCAGTTTATGGCAAAAAGTCAAAAAAGTATTCGCTAATAACCAAATTGTTTTTCCTCTAACTATATATTTCGACGATTTTGAAACTTTAAACCCTTTGGGATCTCACGCTGGCTGTTACAAAATTGGTTCTGTTTATTTCTCATTACCTTCAGTTCCTCCTGATTACGCTAGTCGCTTAGAAAATATTTTTTTATCTCTAATTTTTTATAGCGGCGATAGGCAACAGTTTGGAAATAAAAAAACGTTCGATGTGATCGTAAAGGAGTTAAAGTTTTTGGAAACGACCGGAATAAACATTACCATAGACAAAGGAGAAGTCGTAAATGTAAAATTTTGTCTGGTAGCCCTAACAGGTGACAACCTAGGAGTACACGCGCTTTTGGGTTTCAATGAGTCATTTTCTTCTACTTACTATTGTCGCTTTTGTCTTTCACCAAAAAACGCAATGAGAAGTCAAACAGTTGAAAATCGGAAAGTTCTTAGGCACAAAGAAAATTATAACGAACATGTTGCAAACAAACTTGGAATAAAAGAATCCTGCTTGTGGAATGAATTGCCAAATTTTCATGTCTATGACAATTTATGTTGTGACGTTATGCACGATTTGTTCGAAGGCGTACTTCGATACGACATGGCACTAGTCATATTTAAATTAACTGAGGCAAAATATTTTACACTCGAAAGACTTAACGCAAGAATAAAATATTTCACCTATAGTAACGCTGAAAAAAACATTTGTCCTGGAATAAATAAAGATCATGTATCAAATGACGGATGCCTTATTATGTCAGCTGCAGAAATGCTTTGTTTAACTAGAAATTTTTGTTTAATTGTGGGAGAACTTGTACCAGATGAAAGTGATGTATGGAAGTTTTATTTGATAATACTCAAAATTACCCAAATTCTAACATCAACAGCAATTACCCAATCAGTACTAGAGCTTCTTTCTTCCTTAATAATTATCCACAACGAAATGTACATGAAAATAAGTGGAGAACATCTTAAACCAAAATTTCACTTTTTGATCCATTATCCCAGAATTATATCTAAAATTGGCCCCCCAATTTTATTGAGTTGTATGAGATTTGAGGCAAAACATAGGGAATTAAAAAGTGTGTCTCAAAGAACGACTTGTAGAAAAAATCTGCCGTATACACTGACACTTAGGAATCAGCTAAAATTTTGCTACCGGTTAATGGCAAAAGAAGGATTAGGTGACCAAATATCTCTAGGAAAAATCAGCGATGTTGATCCAGATCGTCTAGTAGAATTTCAGAAAAATTCTCTAAATCTTGAATTTTTTTTTTGCTCAACATTTTACGAAATAAATGGTGTGAAATATGAAACTAACAGTATTCTTTTGGACAGTGTATATCACGATATTCCGAATTTTTGTCAAATTAAAGAAATTTTTATTGATAAAGAAAATTCGAAAAATATATATTTTTATTGCTTATTGCTAAAGAGCATAGATTATAACGAACATCTTTATGCATATTCTGTTGAGTTAACTGAGAAGTTTAGATTGATACAGATTTCATCTCTTTTTTCTGAAATTCCTACTGTGCTTCATACGGTTAAGTCTGCTTTGTATATTTCAAATCTATGTACAGGGTGAGCATTTTCTAAAGTATTCGACACACATATATCAGCTTATTTTATCCAAAAAACTAAGTGCTTACTATTTGGATAAAACAAAACATGTTATTAGTTTCCTATTAACTACCTTTTAATTTTTTTAACGTTTTGATTCCTCCGACCTCTGCATTGACGACGCTTGAACTGAATATGTCTTAATTCGTTTCTAGTTTTGGGCCATTCAACGCTTAACGGATAGGACAGTTGCCGTGTTTTTATTTACAAAATAATATTGTTCTATTATATTACCAATGTCAAATTTTTATAAATAGTTCTAAACTAAAGCTGTTTAACAAGGTTTTTATTTGGCAAAATTAGGTATCGTGATTGACTGTTTAATTCCTTAAAAATTAATAATTTAAAGCGTAACGGGCGGGACTATTACAAAGTCCCGTCCGTTACGCTTTAAATTATTAGTTTTTAAGGAATTAAACAGTCAACCACGACACCTAATTTTGCCAAATAAAAACCTTGTTAAACAGCTTTAGTTTAGAACTATTTATAAAAATTTGACATTGGTAATATAATAGAACAATATTATTTTGTAAATAAAAACACGGCAACTGTCCTATCCGTTACGCGTAGAATGGCCCTTTTGCATTCAGAAACTTTTGATCTTATATTTGAAGTTATTAAATTAGGACGGAATTTGCCGTTTTAATTTAAATAAAGGTATTAGAGAAATAAAGACTTGTAATAATACGTTCCTATAAGAAATTAAAATATAATATTAACGTTTGTTCCTGTTATAATATAAGAATTAAATTAGTTTTTTAAACGTGTTACTTTCTTAGTTTATAGGTATAATAGTTCTTTTTTATATGACTTAGCCATATTTAGTAGGTGATTTTGTTTTATTATTTCACTAGAAAGTAATAAAACCAACGACGTAAAAGTGAAAAAGGACGAGACCTGTTTTTAAAAAGTATTTCAAATGAGTGATCTAAGTGTATACTTATAGTCTGATACCTGTTCGTTCGCCCTGTATACCTACCTTTTAGACGATTTTCGTCACATATTTTTTTTAACACTGGGTCCTACTTTTTCTCTTCTACATTGTTGATTTAAACTAAGAATAAATCTTTTTCGTTCATACTTTGTGATATTACGTTAATAATTAAAACGTAACATAAGTTTTTTCGTTGGTTATTTTATTATTTTGTTTTATTTTTATATGCGGCAAGAGAGCTGCTGTCTGGATGTATATTTTTATTTATGTTTGTTTATACATGTAATTGTTTATGTTTGTTTATACATGTAATTCGCTAATAATAAAAACGCTTCAAGTTCAAAAGCTGTTTTTTTTCTTTTATTAATTATATTATTATATTAGGCAGAGAAAAATGTAAAAACTACTCATACAATTGTACTTAATAAATATCCTTGTTTTACTTTTTAGGATGCCTCTATATGATCTACAGGGTTGGCAAAATATGTAGGCGTTGTAAGTTGCTGCAGGATGGGTTTCAAAGAATGGGAAAACTATTAACTAGGTAAAGAAAATATAAATATTTATCTACGCCAGTCAGATAAGAACTTCTTATCCCACTCATTTTGAGTAGGATAAGAAGTTCATTAACGCACCCGTTTTTCTCTGCTTTTCAACCAATCAAATAAAAAAGTCAAAATGTCAAAATAACCCTAAATTAAGTCTTAGACAAAAATAATTACCGTTTATTTTTTTATTTAGAGGCGTAGATAAAAATTTGTACAATATACGTGTGATAACGCTTTATTAACGTACTTCTGCGATTGCCCAACTCGTGCTACGCACTCGCTCGCTCGCATGCGTACGTTAATAAAGCTCTTATCCCACTTATATCGTAAATATAAATATTAACTCAGTAAGTTTAGTAATTTGTATGTAGCTTCTGATATATTATGTACTTCTTTCAAGGTGTACAACTTTATTTTTAAAAGTATTTTTAATCTGCATACAATTATACAATTACCTTAAGCTAATAATGCATTATCATGAATTATCATGATAATTCTTATTGAAATATTTAAGAATAATTAAAAGTTAACCCAGAGTATTAAATATATAAAGTTATAACTTTATTTTTAAGTGCGGGTTATTTTATATTTTAAAAATAGATTTATTTGCCAACTTAAGCCAATAGTTTTATTTGCCAACTCTATTTAAAATTAAGGGCTTCCTAGTAAAATTTAAAAAAACGCTTTTGATTAATCAGTGTGCATTAATGAAGTTAGGTTATAAGTCTTTTCAAATAGGAATTTGTCACAATTAAAGTCTTCCAGTACCAATTTTCAGCTGACTAACGTTGATTAATATCCAATTAAAAAACCAAATAAAATGTAATTTTTGTGCACCTATTTATTTAGGTAGATATCTTTTATCCAATAAATTTTTGTCTTACAAATTAAAAATCACTTTTAAAAATTGAGTGTATATCAGACTAAAAGCATTTTACTAAAAAACATTTTGTTAATTTTTATATTTTGAGACGATGATTTTTAGTTAAATTTTTCTCAGTTTTTAAAACTCATCGTGCATAATGACTTACAAAGCCGTCGTGTTTTGCCAACTACGTAGATCAGATTTATCGACACATTCGAACAGGTAAAATAAAACCAAGGATATAGAAAATCTTAATTCAAGAATATGCAATTTCAAAGCAATTCTTAAAATGATTCTAACGTATTTTCAAATTAAAATGTTTTATTTTCAAAAGAAGCCTCTCGAATTCTCCTTATTAACAAGACACATTTTAATTTAAAAATTTTCCAATTTAAATCAAAGCAATAATATACTCAATTTAAGCTGACTGCATTCTAAATGCAATGTTTTATATATTAAAATAAAGAATAGCTATTGTCAAAATTAATCGACGTATACTCCGTCCAAGCTGCTATATTAAATGTTGCACATTTAAGATAAAGCGATATATGCTTAATCTAAAATGACGGCGCCTTTGATAAAAAACTGTATTTACTCAAAAGAAGAATTCCTGTTTTGTTAAACTAAATTGACATATGCTTAGTATAAGTCTGTATAATTAAATTTACATGTTTGAGATAAAACGATGTAAGCTTACTTTAAAATGAGCGAATTTTTATTACAAAATGGTATTTACTCAAAAGAAGCACTTCAATTTTCTTTAAATAAATAGACAAATGCTTCGTTTAACCTGATATATTTAAGAATTTGCTATTCTCATTTTAAGGTGATATAGTCTTGAGTATATACAAAGCTAACTTAAGCTCAAATTGAGCATAAGCTGTTTAATCCAAGTATTTTGTTTTTTCCGTGTAGTAAAGAAGAACAGCGCTGTCATTGAATGCATTAAAATTGAAGCAATCTAAATTGTTATTTGCTCAATTAATTACTATTAAACCAAAATAGGGAAATATTTTGCCTAAATGTCAAAGAATTTATTGCGTTAAATGTATACATAGTATACATACAATAGTAACGTTATTAAATAAATCAAATTAGTATTTAATGCAATAACATTCTACCATTCTAACAAATAAATATCAATATAAATATCAATAGATTTAGAAGCGATAACTTTTGTTGTTAATTTAAACAGTAAACGATTATAAACCAAGTGCTAACTACCTATGGGTATTATAGGAACTGTTATTCAGGAATACGGATTACAAGATCCCATTGGTTTAATGGCTCACCCATTTTTTCTGTGTGACGATTACGGTTTTGATAGTTTTCTCACACAGTTGCAATGCACATTGTGCATGAATTGCTGCGTAGATTTTAACCATTGATTAATAAGTTCTTCACTCAACATTTTTACTTTGTAGTTATTAAACGAAGCGAAAATTACCACCAAATTAGAATTACTACAAACATTAATTTCGTTTCGTCACAAAAAATCTATCCCTTTTATAAACATGTAAAAACGATGGTTTGTAGGGCTTAAACGATTAAATTTTATTTTTGACAAAATTTAATCCTTGTTTGAACGTATTTAAGTAAAGCCGTTGTTTGTTTTCCACCTAACTTGGTCTGGAATCGGTATTTAAAAAGGATTTATTCTGTACGCAGAGAGGACACAATGAAATGTTCCAGGGAAATCTGTGACTTGATGAATGAACTTGAAAAGTTTATTACTGGCAACTAAAGGGTCTAGTCCCGCGTACCGTTCGAATGTTTTACTTTCCAACTTTGTAGCCGCTTCAAAGCTACGTGAATCGTCACTCGCATTGCCCAATTTAGATGATTGCAAAGATATTAAGTTTAACTTGGATGTGTACTTTTCGAATTCGATGTCCACACAACTTTTGGAATGGTATTTAACTATTATTTATACAAAGTTTGTTGGCTGTATTTACAATGGACGACATGGTCCCCATAAGTTATGCTTCGTTTTTAACATATTTGTTAAATTTAAAATTCGAATTCGAATTCAAAAATATAATTAGAGATGGGATTTTAGATTGCAAAATTTATAGGTAAACTTTTTTCCTGTTTTAGATGAGAAAATTCTTAAATTAGGTACGTTCTTTACGAAAATAAGTATTGGAAAAAACATTTTAGGTGGTCAAATTATTTAATTTATTATTTGTATAACATTTTATTAAACAAGATTTTTATAATTAAAAAAATTATATACCTATATTGTAAAAATGTACATATATATCTTGTAAAAATATCATTATACCATTATAAATTTTATAATTTTTTAAGGCAGCGGCACAAAATGTTTTTGTAAACGAGCATACTAATTATAATAATAAATTTATTGTCATCA